GCGGGGAGTGGCGCGCAGGTCCAGAACGGGGCGCCTGTCCTCAGACCCCCTGGCCGCGCCACACCCTTCTTGCCTCTAGACAGGGTGGGGGGGTGTGGGTCCCGCTTAGCTGGCCGGATGTTGCTCGCCGGTCACACGTGAGCACCACCCTGCCTGTTGTGATTGTGCAAAACAAAGACTCAAAATCAAAGCCGCCAGCTCTAGGGGCCGTCTTGCGCCCCAGAGTGTCCCTTGCTGAGATTTCCTGGGGCTGGAGACCCAGGAACCTGAGCTCTCCTCTCCATGCATCTCCCAGTCCCCTGCAGGGACGTCCTCCCCATGTCCAACTCTCTCTTCCTCCCCAGGGAGGATGCAGAGGCAAGTCCCCACCCCGCACACTCCCAGCAAGCCCAGGACAGCCCCGCTGTGGACATTTGCAAATTGCAATTCCCACTTTGCTTTCCTCCCAAGGTGCAAGACTCCAACTCAACTCTTTAAATGACTCTTTGTTTCCATCGCAGAGCTTGAGCAGGGCTTGTACCCCTGTGATTGAATCCCCTGCCCCCGTGGGGAATGTCCCACCCCTCACCTTCCCACCGGCAAAGTTCCCCGGGCACCCACGCCAGCCCTCCAGGAGAGCCAGGTTGTTAGAAAGCTCTCTGCCTCTGCTGCCTCAGGTGGAGCCCCGCCCTCTCCACCTGGCAGCTTTCCCGCCTCAGCCCCCCCACCCCCACCCCCGTGTTGGAGTGCAGGGGGTGTCTGCCAGGGCTTTAGCAATGTCAGCAGCTCCGCCCACCCGCCCAAAGTGGTGAGGGTGCAGCCCACTGTCTGCTCCCCTGCAAATCACTTGCAAGCCGGTGGTACAAAAATAGTAACAGCTGCTGGCTGCATCTGTTTCCATGTTATCGCTTTAATGTGGCAGGCCCAGGGCCACCCCTGGGTCCCTACCTCTGTCCCTGCGCTCCCCCTCCACTTCCCTTCCCACCCAACCCCACAGCTCTGGTCGCCCACTCCCTTCTGCAGCCCTAGCTGTCCCAGGACACACTGTGGGTTTCAGTGGGTGCGGAGCAGGAGGACAGGCGTGGCCGGCGGGGACAGCGACCACGGGGGTGTGCCCTGGGACCACAGCCCACTCCCCGCAGCAGCGCCTGCAGGTCCTGGCGGAAGCGCAGGCCCAAGAAGGCATAGAGCACCGGGTTGAGGCCACAGCGTGCCAGGGCCAGGCCGCCGGTCACCAGCAGAGCCAGGTCCTTGCGCTTGCTGGCCGGGCAGCTGTGTTCTCGGGCGGCCAATAGGTCGGCCGTGTCCAGCAGCAGAGCCAGGCTGTAGGGCAGCTGCAGAACCACAAAGGCTGCCACCAGGGCCACTACGACACGGAGTGCACGCCGGCGCTCGGGCCCCCTGGCGGCCAGCAGTGTGCGGCCTAGGAGTGCATAGCAGGCGGCCATGACGCCCGCTTGCTGGCCGGGCAGCTGTGTTCTCGGGCGGCCAATAGGTCGGCCGTGTCCAGCAGCAGAGCCAGGCTGTAGGGCAGCTGCAGAACCACAAAGGCTGCCACCAGGGCCACTACGACACGGAGTGCACGCCGGCGCTCGGGCCCCCTGGCGGCCAGCAGTGTGCGGCCTAGGAGTGCATAGCAGGCGGCCATGACGCCCCC